GTGTGTGTGTGTGTGTGTGCGCGCACGCCTGGGGCAGCCTGGGGCCATCGGAGGGGGCCTGGGGAGCAGTGGAAGAAGGGATGAAGCAAGAGAGGGATGGAGGTCAGCGGGGGTCTCGCTGGGAAAGGTGCAGGTCTGGGCTGATGGCCAAACAGAAAGGTGGAAAAGGAGTTTCATAGTCAGATGGGGGCGAGAGGGGGGGGGTGGAAGTAAGGGAGCAGGAAGGGGAGGTGGGGGAGAGAAGGAGAGGCTGAAAGGTGGATTAAAGCAGGTACACAGAAAAACGCACGGTGAACACATTCGCTTAGCCTCGGATATTTCCATAAATAAACATTTCCAGAACTGACTTACATAACGGGTTATATTGAGTACATATGTGTTGGCATGTTAAATATTTTTAGGAATTCACACTTTATTATTCGGTTGATCTCACGTCGAACCCATCGCTTCGCGTGTTATTCATTGTTAATGTGTATTCTGTATTTTCCTGCGTGTGTCTGAGCGTTGACGGCGGTTCGCCTCTCACAGCCGCTGCTCTGGGAGCGGAAACCCTCGTGCTGCGATCAGCTGAGCTGCTTTAATTCAAACATCAAAGCGAGAGACAGAGAGCGTGGATTGTGTTTCCATTTGAGGCATTTAGCCGACGCTGTTATCCAGAGCGAACTAATTGATCTCGTGTTCCTCGGTGTCGATACCGTGTCAGGCCGTTCAGTCTTTTACTCCAGTTTGTCACTTTTTACGCTTCGCGGCCAAGAAGAATTTTGGAAAGCAATATTTAAAATATCGCTGTAGCTGAAATTTAAAACAAGTTAAATTTATTCCGAGCACTTTCTCGTCAGCTCGTCTGCTTTGATATATTTTCCCTCTGTGTGACAGTCCTGACAAAGTTACGGAGTTTGGGTAGCTGGGGGAGAGTAGACGGGGGAGGAAGAAACATAAAGAGAGATTGATCAGCGTGTGTGTCTCTTCATTAGAGTGTTTCACCAAGGCTGCGTCCTCCACACGTTGCCACACTGTCGGGCCTATTAGAGAGAGACGTAGGGAGTGTGTGTGTTGTTTGTGTGTGTGTGTGTGTGTGTGTGTGTGTGTGTGTGTGTGTTGTTTCAGGTCTGTTAAAGTCCTTTTCAATTTCTCTTCACAAACCTTACGTTCCTCTCCTCTCCCGTCTTCTCTTTCATCCCACCATCTCTTTCCTCTCCTCTGGAGTTCAGAGTCCGTCCATCTGGAACACCCTGCCCTTCCCACCCTTCTCTCCCCCCTATAGTCCCGTCCAGGCCCAGACACGGGGGTGAAGGCCAACATCAGTAGGGGAAAAAACTGTCAGAGAGAGACAGTGGGACGGAGGGAGAGATGTAGGCGCTACAATGAGTAACAACATGAAAGCTGACGGAGGGAGGGAGCGAGGGAGGGAGGTAGTGGAAGAGAGATGAAGACAGAAGAGTAGAGGGACTGCTGGGGACAGAGGGAGGGATGAAGGGTAGAGGGAATGGATGGGAAAGGAGAAGACTGTAGAGTGAGAGATAAAGCGGGAGTAGAGCGGTTGGGGCCCTGTGGTACTCCGCTCCGCTCCTCTCGTTCTTTTTCGTCCGCCGGAGAAGAACAGAATGGAGGAGGAGACGGGGGGAGGAACAGCGTGTGCTGGCGTCTGCCTGCTCCTGCCTGTTTCTCCTTTCTTTTCCCCCAACTTCTTTTTCTCCCTCTGTTTTTCTCCCCCTCCCTAAACCATCCATCCTGCTCATCTCCTCTCCTCTCGAGGATTCTTCTCTAATTTAACTTTTCATTGAAATTTTCTTCGCTCCCCCCCTCCCCATCCTCCAGCTTCTCCCAGTTTGCCGTCCGGCCTTGTCTTGCCAGGTCCCCTCGCGGCCGACTGACAAAGGCGCCGTTAAAAAGCCGTGTGATCCTCCATTTTAGCGCCAGCCACGCTAGTCAGAGGATTAGGGCTCTTTAATGACGCTAATCTCTCCTCCCCTTCTTTCTCAACACCCCTCCATCCCCTCCCTCAAAAAGTGATTTCTCCCTCTTGCACTGACTGAATCTGTGTCTTGTTCAGTGTCTCTTTTCTTTCCCTCGCTCCACTTCCCCACCTCTCGACACGTTTCCATTCGATTTACTCTTACTGGTTTTCCGTCATAATGGTCCACATGCGTTCGGACCAGCACTGGTGTTTCTGGGGTTCGTTTCCTCTTTTCCTCTTCTTTGCTTTTTCTAACATGCCGTTGCCGTTTTCTTTCTTTGCTTGACCACAACAACATTTTGGTTTGAGTTAAACACAAAAGGTGAGAGGCTGTGATCTGTGTCTCTCTCAGGCTAAACAAAAAGACTTGTATCCTGATGTGAGAACAGCAGAGGGCGACTGGGCAGACGTCTTATAGATGCACCAACAGCATCAGCCTTAAAACATATAGATGCTTTATTTATTATTGGATTCTCGTTTGGTGCCGTTGGATTCAAACTTGTGTAGATGTCACTTCCACGGAGAGGAATGATTTCTTTCTCACGATGAACCAATGTTGTGAGGCAGAAAAATCAATAGCACATAAAAGACTCTTTCTGTGTTGCTCTTTAAAGCAGCTTCAGCTTGTTGAAGTAATTATGACAGAAGAGAGTTTAAACACAAACGTTTTGATGGATGATGTGAGTGTTTACATTCGTGAAACCACACTGGAATTCACTAGATGTGTTTTTTTTTTTCTACCTGCACGCTGCACTCATATCTCACAATGTTAAATAAAGTGGGAAAGAAAGAATCCTGGATCTGCACCAACATTTAATAGCGTTCTTTCTCGGGTCACGTCCCTCCACAAAATAATTGAGCAGCCTGGTTCTTGCGTAATCATGCAAACAAAGAAAACCAACGCAGACGAAAAAACGGTTGATCGACATTCACATCGAACTCTGTGGACCGACGCAAAACAAAATCACAATAAAAACCCATGCTGCTTTGCAGAAGGTGGACCGGACCCTATCTCAGACTTTGACCTCACTTCCTCTGGTCCAGGTCCGCAGATGTCTTCACAGAGTGCTCAGGATGATTTGGTGCAGTGGAGTGATTTTTACTCTGGAGTAGCAGCATGAAGGCGAGGAGAGCTCATCCTGCAGCTACTTCTGGGGACATTGAGGTCCTATTGGGTCAAACCCCACATTAAACCTCACAGAGCAACCACAGGCGACGGTTCAGCCACATCCTATAGTTCTTGTTCTGCTTCTCCTCCATCTGTCTCTCTCTCTCATCCCCTATCTCCGTCTCTTACCGTTAGGCTCCATGTTGATATCTCTATTCCTCTTTATTTTCCTTCTTGCTTCCAGTCGAATTTATAATTCATTCCAATACGTTGTTTTTTATTTAAACCCAGACCCCCCCTGCAGAGTTCTATTTGCTCATCCCAGCTCCTACGTCTTCCCGGTGATCGATTCATCACAAGGATCTGTTTTCCACCCCCTCTCTGCGAGGCGTAATACACAGTAGACTAGACGCACAAACACACACAGTCAAGATTGTGGTAGGAGTTGGCTGAGGTAAAACGTTGTGTGCTCTGGAGAGGTTTCTAAAATTATCAGGAGAAGCTTCTCTCCTGGACATATGTCTGTGCTCAATGTGTTGGAACGAGTCACATCTAACTTTTCCCACTCGTTGTGCCGTTTCTTCAGTTTGTCTCCCTGATTCGTCGCCGGCCCGGTTGATATAGATATCAGATAAAAGCAAAGAAAACATCCTCCCTCCTTTTCCCCTCATCTCCTCTCGTCTTTACATTTTCCAGGCAAATGCTAAATAGGCTCACTGTGCCGCTTCACAGACGAGCACAAAGACGAACAGAACAATATCAAGCATTATTCAGCCCCCTCCTTTGTCGCCTCGAATCCATTCTGAAGTGTCTATTAAAGGAGTCGTGGCCTTTCTGTCGCCTCTGTGCCAGACTACACAGTAGGAGAAAAAAAGAGGGAGAGAGAGAGAGAGGGAGGGGGGCGGGAGGAAAAGAGCAATGCATAATCTCCTATGTTTGACAGATAAAGGGAGTGAATATCGCCATCTTTCCGCTCCGCTCTCCACATCTCCTAATCGCTTTTCCAACATTTCAATCTGCCTGGGCCCTAATGAAAATATGATGAGGCGGATCTATGGTCCTCGGGGAGGGATGGAGGGATAGGAGGGGAGGGGAGGTGAGGGGAGGGAAGGAGCGAGGGATGGCTGCAGAGGGAGGATGAAGGGAGAGAAAATACACTCTGTCCTTATTTCTGGGCTCCGCCGGGGATACATAGTTCTTGGAGCTTTCTATTTAGATGTTGCTGCTACCGGAGTCTCTCTCTCTCCCTCTCTCTCTCTCTCTCTCTCTCTTCTGTTCTATTCTCTCTTTATCTCTCCCATCCTCTGTATTCTTGTGCGTAACCAGGATAAATGTGTTTATTTTTTCGTATGTATCTTATTCCTCTCATTTGAACTCCCACAGGCCGCCTCTCCTGCCTTTTACCTTCCAAGAACCATGTAACTTCTTAATCATTCTAATGCTGCTGGTTTTACCCCCAGTTTTTCATTCCGAGCTCACCTGTCTCCTCTAAACCTGCAGCTGTGCACAAAGAAACTGCGTCTGTGTGTTTTTCATTTATTCATCTGCAGATGAATATATCCCTTTACATTTTCCCTGCCTGCCTCCCTCTCTTGTCAGACGGCGATGATGACCCAGCAGGGTTGTCCTGGGTGCCTTCCTCACCCTCCAGCAAAGACGTGGCCTCGCCCTCGCAGATGCCCGACGGCTGCTGCGACCTCGGCATGGCCACTGGTGGCGAGGAGGAAGGAGGCGCCGGTCTGCCGTACCCCTGCCAGTTCTGTGACAAGTCCTTCAGGTATCAAACTTGCACGTTTGCTGCGGACGTCACTTCGTGTCGTGCACAATAACACCGATGCCATAGTTGGCTGTTTAGTTTCATACCCATATCTCTCTCATGAATATCAATAAGTACATAAATAAACTGTATTCTCAATATTACCATGGTAACGTGGGCCACCAAGGCAAACCGTAAAAGGAATGAGGTGAATACATTTCTCACTTGCGTCTCCAGGGAGTGACTCAAGACCCACTTTAAGAACAGCTGTCACACACACACACACACACCATGAAGTCATCGTCGTCATTTTCCACATCACTCTTTGTGACCAGACCTCTGCCTTTATTTATGTATTTTGTATGTTTGATCTTGATGCTCTCAGTGTTTTATACCATTTCAATTACCACTGAAAGAAAGTCAAATTGCTGTCACGAGTCTTCACATAGCGAGTGTTTGTCACCCCCCCCCGCCTCCCTTCAGTCGTCTGAGCTACCTAAAGCGCCACGAGCAGATCCACAGCGACAAGCTGCCGTTCAAGTGCACCTTCTGCAGCCGCCTGTTTAAACACAAGAGGAGCAGAGACCGCCACGTCAAGCTCCACACAGGTGAGAGCACAAAGTGATATCCACAGTGCATCAGAGGCTTCATCCACACTGCTATGGTTTAGTTTGAAAACACATCGCTGCTGCTGCTGCATCTATGTTGACGTACACGCTAATCCAGAGAAGTTTGAAACCATTGCTGTGGGTTCTAACTGTGTCTGATGTTTGTTTGATCCATGACGAAGCTTTCCTCTGACCTCTTGTCTGTCCACAGGAGACAAGAAGTACAGTTGTCAGGAGTGTGAAGCTGCATTCTCTCGCTCTGATCACCTGAAGATCCACCTAAAGACGCACAGGTCACTGCTTCTGAGCTTTGAACATTTCTTTGATTATTTGATGATTTCTGCGACTCTGATTTCTTACTCATTTTATTTTAAATTCACACCTTCAGCTCCAGCAAACCTTTTAAGTGCAGTGTGTGTAAGCGTGGCTTCTCCTCCACCTCGTCGCTGCAGAGCCACATGCAGGTGAGTTGATTCAGTCACAATGACAAGTTACTGATATTGCCTTTCTTTTTAAGAAGTACTCCAGATTACCGCCACCGTTTTTTACAACACCTGCTTCTCGACCATTTTCTGACTGTGGCAGGCTCACCGCAAGAACAGAGAGCATCTTGCGCTGAGGAGCGAGAGGGATGGAGGGAAGAAGGGAGGAGGAGGAGATATTGACCTGGAGCAGGACCTTTATATGTGTGATTATTGCGAGGAGACGTTCAGCCAGACTGACGAGCTGGAGAAACACGTCCTGACCAGACACCCCCAGCTGTCTGACAGAGCCGACTTGCAATGCATCCACTGTCCGGAGATCTTTCTCGATGAGGCTTCTCTCCTCACACATATTGAAACACAGCATGCCAACCGCAAACACAAGTACTGCCGAGCTTCTCCTCTTTATCCAACCACTGATTTCAATTAATGTGAAATGCAGTAAGTGATCTCAAATGCTTCGTTTCCCCAGATGTCCAGTCTGTTCGGAGCAGTTCCCCTCTGTGGAGGACGTCTACTGCCACCTCGACAGCCATCGCCAGCCGGACTCCTCCAATCACAGTGCTGCCAGTCCTGATCCTGCACTGGGCAGCGTGGCTTCAATGAGCTCAGCCACTCCAGACTCCAGCGCCAGTCTGGAGAGAGGCTCCACCCCCGACTCTACGCTAAAACCCAGCCAGGTCATTGAACGAGGACGGAGAAGAGGCACCGACACGGGGGAAGAGATTGGAATAAGCCTGGTTCATCACGGTGGAGGTAAGAAAGTCACTTATCTACAGAGTTGAGCCGGTGCAGATACGTCTCTTTGTTTTTCTAAACATGCATTTGATCTCTCCATCTCTACAGGTGGAGGAGGGAATTGGGGTAAAGTGACGTACTCTTGCCCTTACTGCTCAAAAAGAGACTTCCACAGTCTGGCAGTGTTGGAGATCCATTTGAAGACCATCCATGCAGATAAGCCGCAGCAGAGCCACACGTGTCAGCTCTGTCTGGACACCCTGCCAACGCTCTACAATCTCAACGAACATGTGCGCAAGGCCCACCGTGCCAGCGGAGGCACCGTCGGCACAGCGCCGGCAGCTTTTCCTCTGCTGCAGTTCACTAACGTCACAGCGTTCCACTGCAACTACTGTCCAGACATGTTCGGGGACATCAACTCTCTGCAAGAGCACATCAGAGTGTCCCACTGCCTGCCTGGTGGGATCGTGGCAGGATCCACCACATTAGGTATGTTTCACTCCTCCTAAACAACAGCAGCATGTGAGAGTGCATCAGTTCACTAACTCAACTCTTCCATCCCAGAAGGGAACCATGCGTTCTTCTGCAACCAGTGCTCCATGGGATTCCTGACAGAGTCGTCACTGACGGAGCACATTCAGCAGACGCACTGTTCCTCAGCTGCAGGGGGCGGAGCTGTGTCTGGAGGATCGGTGGCCAAACTGGAGTCTCCGGTTCTACAGGCTGCATCTCAGTCCTTCATGGAGGTGAGAGCCAGTCAGAAGTTTATTCACAACAACCTTTAATTGATCAGTTGATAAGAGGTGAATAAAATGAAGCTGTACCTGTCTGATCACTTGTTGAAGCTGAGTCTGCAATTAATGAGTCTGCAGAGTAAGTGTGCATCTCGCCTGCGGACCCTGTAGTTCATGCTGTGCTCAAAACATAATTGGAATCGGATGGGAGGTGCAGTCAGTTAATTCCTGGTTTTTCGCCACAGGTGCTGGGTAACAATTATATCGACAAAAAAGGAAAAACTCCACACTGTTTTTTTATTTACATATTTTATATATATATTTTTCTGTTCTCATAAACTTTGGCTTCAAGTGTCAATAAGACAGTGCTGTGAGATGCTCACTGTCTGCCAATAATTTATGTATTAAAACCATTTTCTTCGTGATCTTTCAAAGTTATGTTGATGATTATAATTTATGGCCTGTGCTCGTGTTTGGCTCTTTTCTTTCCTCTGTCATCCTTTATTTGTCTTTCCTCTTTTCTCCTTTACTCTCTCAGGACTGTCTGAGAAATAACAAATATATATGTCAAAGTACAATAATCTTAAAAAAATAAGTAAATAGCTATTGTCCGTGTACAGGTTTACTCCTGCCCTTACTGCACCAATTCTCCTATCTTCGGCTCACTCCTCAAGCTCACCAAACACATAAAGGAGAACCACAAGAACATCCCGCTGGCTAACAACAAGCGGCAGGCGAAGGTTGCAGACTTGAGCCCAGCCTCCTCGGATGTGGAGATCTCCTCCCCGAAACGCCACAGACTTGGGGGGGACTCCACTCCCTCCATGGGGAGCAATGGGGACTACCCGTGCAACCAGTGTGACCTGCGATTTTCCAGCTTCGAGGGTTTCCAGGCGCACCTGAAGTCACACCTGGAAATGCTGCTGAGACGCCAGTCCTGCCCCCAGTGCAACAAGGAGGACTTTGAATCCCAGGAGGCATTGCTTCAACACCTGACCGTGCACTACACCACAACATCAACCCAGTACGTGTGCGAGAGCTGCGATAAACAGTTCTCCTCGGTTGATGACCTGCAGAAACACCTGCTGGACATGCACACATTTGTCCTCTATCACTGCACTCTCTGCCAGGAGGTCTTTGACTCCAAGGTCTCCATACAGGTGCGAGAGCCGTCTTCTTTTATTTTTTACAAAGAATGAAAGAAGAAGAATATGGTTGTGATGTGTGATGGTTTAGAAACTTTTCCAAAACACAATTATCTTGAATTGCTTCTTTCTTTGGCTCTGTCTTCCAGGTGCATTTGGCAGTGAAGCACAGCAATGAGAAGAAGCTGTTTCGCTGCACAGCCTGTGCCTGGGACTTCAGGAAAGAGGCTGATCTTCAGCTCCACGTCAAGCATAACCATCTGGGTCAGAGGTCAGGCCTCCCAGGGGGGCTTGGAGCAGGTACGCTACATGTGTCTTTCGATTTCGAAGTAGAACTGACGATGAAATAAAAGGAAATATATTAAAAGCAAGCAGAGGAGTCAAGTGTTTATTTGAATCTTAATCCTACGTTTTTCGTCTCACAGGACTCAAACCTCGAAAGTGCATCTTCTGTGGGGAGACATTTGGAACTGAGGTAGAGCTCCAGTGTCACATCACCACTCACAGCAAGAAGTTCACGTGTCGCTTCTGCGGCAAGGCTTTCCACGCTATCTCCCTGTTAGAAAGACACCTGAGGGAGAAGCACTGCATCTTCGAAGGTGGCAACATCACCGGCAACGGAGGTGGCACAGGGAGCAGCAGCAGCCAGAACGGGACACCCAACGGGCTGGCACAGTCTTCCAAACGAGGAGGAGGAGTCAGTGGAGGCAATGGAGGTGCAGGAGGTGTTGAGAGAGGAACGGTGGTGGCTGCTGAACAAGCCGACCTGCAGAACATGGTGCTAAAGAGTGGAGGAGCTAGCCAGGGAGGAGATACAGCGAACAGCCATGAGGCAAGTGGGGGCGAGGAGGAGCTGGACAATTCAGAGCCCATGTACGCCTGTGACATCTGCGGAGCGGCTTACACGATGGAGTCCCTTCTGCAGAACCACCGGCTGCGTGACCACAACATCCGACCAGGAGAAGACGACGCCTGTAACGACTTTTATCCAATTTGCAGTTTATTCCACGATTGTAATATTTCTTCGACAGTAAATAAAACTTTATTACTTTATACCAGGTTCTCGAAAGAAGAAGGCAGACTTCATCAAAGGGAACCACAAGTGCAACGTGTGTTCCAGAACGTTCTTCTCTGAGAGTGGCCTTCGTGAGCACGCTCAGACGCACCGTGGTCCCGCAAAACACTACATGTGCCCGATTTGCGGCGAGCGCTTCCCCTCCCTGCTGACCCTCACTGAACACAAGGTACTTCAGAGTTTTTATGCAGAGAGTGGATAATGTGCCACACGTGGTATAAAAACACGCTTTTGTTTTCTCTCTTGTGTTGTTCTGCTGCTTTCTGTCTTTTGATCCTGAAACTTCTTTGGCTCCTTTGAAATTCGGATCTGAAAAATGTTAAATTGTCCTCAGAGACGCAATTTATGTTGCACAGCACTTCAGAAAATGTTTGAATATTTCAATAAAAAGTATTGTGTAATGCAGCTCAAGGTTCTCTGACAGACAAATATTTTACACCATCATGATTGAATTGATAAATCAATAATTGATGATATTATGGATTATTAAAATAAGGGTTTCCCATTCCAACAT